TGCGTTTAACCCTCGCCCGCACATGCCATTTTCCCATCCTAGAACGCACATGGCGGGGGGGGGGGGTGGTTGCCACCCCCCGCGCCATTTCGTTCCTGTTGGAGATAGAGCTTAGCGGTAAAGACCAAAAAGATTCTTTGGGAAAAAGACGAATCCAATGATACCCAGTGTTACTTTCTCAGGTCAGTCATTGACCTTCCAGGTCAGGTCAAACTAAAAAATGTTGCTGTTTTGGGTCACCGTTGGATATCAAGTGCGCTGCTTATCAAATACCGATGACGATGCTGTTTTCTGGTGCCAAGCCAGCTAGAACCTCTTTGTCACACTACCCGACCAGGTTTTTGCTACTGAGGTCATTTCAGGTCAAGTTAGGTCAAGGTCAATTATATGTGTTTGTATGTCTGTGTGTCTGTGTGTATACTGATGTGTGCACCGATTGTTTTTGGGTCCATATTACATGAAATCATGATCTGAGAAGCTTTTACCAAAAATACAGTCAAAAAACTTCACAAAAAATAAATTCAGCTTGCCTAAAACGCAATTATCTTAGATGACCTAGGTTGACCTTGGCCCTGACCTTGACCCCTGCACATCGTCGAACAACATGTTCCATGATAGGTGGGAGGTAAGACTGGCAAAAAAGGCCGAAATCAGGGTGTTAAAAGCTCACAAGGCCCATGGCAAACGCAAGATGTTGAGAATTGGCCATTTGGGTCATGACATGACCTGAAAAACAAGGTCATATCTCCGAAACCAAAAATCACAGAAACTTGAAATTTTCAGTGGACATCAAGAAAGGATAGACGAGCAGCTATACAAAACATCAGCCTTCTAGCTCTAAAAATGTTGAGTGCAGAGCAGAAAGACTACCTGGGGGGTGGCAACCCCCCCCCCATGTGCGGGCGAGGGTTAAGCCCTACAATATTTTTATATTTTGGCATATACCTATACCTACTAGCAACTGCATCAAATTATTTCATGCCAAAACTTAACCATAAATCCGACGAGTGAAAGGCGAAAGCAGTGTCCAGAGGAGCACACAGATCCACAGACCATAGCTGACCAAAGGGACAGAAACCGATCCACAGACCATAGCTGACCAAAGGGACAGACACAGATCCACAGACCATAGCTGACCAGACAGACACACAGATCCACAGATTAGAGCTGACCAGACAGACACAGATCAGAGTTGACCAGACAGACGCACAGATCCACAGACCATAGCTGACCAGACAGACACACACAGATCCACAGCCGACAGCTGGACAGACAGACACACACAGATCCACAGACCATAGCTGACCAGACAGACACACAGATCCACAGATTAGAGCTGACCAGACAGACACAGATCAGAGTTGACCAGACAGACACACAGATCCACAGACCATAGCTGACCAGACAGACACACACAGATCCACAGCCGACAGCTGGACAGACAGACACACACAGATCCACAGATCAGAGTTGACCAGACAGACACACAGATCCACAGACCATAGCTGACCAGAGTGACAGCCGATCCTCCCGACTGCAGCTGGGCTCATCTCCGCCGCGGGGACTGCAGCTAGGCGCATCTCCGCCGCGGAGACTGCCGCGGAGCACAGAAACGGACCACCACGGGCCGGGGCAGTAACCACTAACCAGTAACCACCGTGGACAGTACGGCGAGCGCAGCTGCATTGGTCGGATGGAACAGAAACGAGCCACCACGGTGACGCGGCGAGGGACGGCAGGGGTGGTCCGGCGCAGTGGCTGCGACAAAACACCTGATATATGTATAGGTAGCACCTGGCGCGGTGCTGTGGCTTTGTGTAAGCAGTATGGTAATTGGTAGCCATCACTGCAGGGCGTCCTATGGTGAGGAGGTGCGCCCAAGATTCCTGTGCCAATGGTAGACACAAGACACGCTGTGATCCGGATTGGAGACAAACACTGTGATATGACGAGACGCGCCCTATTCCCTCTTCAAATGAGCAGCATGAACTGGAGGCTACTGCCGGACGGGAAGTTCACCTACCGTGGCTATGAACTGCCGAGGCTACCTACTGCCGGACGGAAGTTCCACCACCGTGACTGGATGGTACAAACAGGCAGCTGTACTGCAGTGCATACACCAGTAATATACATAGTGATACACCACCGGTGGGTGTACTGTGCTCACGATACACAACCCACAGTTGTACTGCATCCGCGATACACCATCAGAAAGGTATACTGCGCCAGTGATATACCACCGGTGGGTGTCACGCACCAGTGACCAGTGATACACCAACCACAGGTGTAGGTACTGCGCCACTGGTACACCACCGGTGGGTGTTAGCACCAGTAACCAGTGATACACCACCCACAGGTGTGCTGCGCCACTAGTACACCCCCGGTGGGTGTTACGCACCAGTGACACGCCGTACGTTACGCTACTCCACTAGCCATGGCGCTGCGAAACACGCCGCAGCCAGCGGTGCTGACCGCAGCATGGGACACGCTCCTTTGAACACGTGACCGCAGGACACAGTCTCGGTGACCGGTCAGCCGGGACAGCGCGGCGCCGCGGGGGCCGGTCACGTGTCACTGTGCCGCCCCGGTGACTGGCGGTGTTACGAGACACCGCGTGCCACGAGCCGTCACACGCGGCACGTGACGCACGTGACGGTGGCATGGACTGATCACGTGACACAGCACGTCCGCTCGGTACGTGACTTTGTACGGACGGCGCCTGTCACAGAAGGCTCCGGGGTGGCCTCAGCATTCGGCCGCTCCTACCGTCTCCAATCAGTCGCTTATAAATGTGATGTATACGGCTCTCAGCGCTTTTCCACCCCTACCGTTTCTCTGACTTCCAGAAATTCGTTATTTCATATTATTCAGGTCGGGTCAGGGTTCATGAATTTGACCGGTCAAGGTTGACACAGGACCAGGCCTCTGTAGCGGTGCGTCAGACTAGCTGTGTACGAATCCGGGTGTGTATCTGAGGGTGTGTGTTTCTGAGTGTATGTGTGTGGGTGTGTGTGTGTTTCTGTGTGTGTATCGGCTTCTCAGTGTGTATGTGGAGCCTGGGAGTGTCTGAGGCCGTGGGCAGCGGGTAGCACAGGACGGCCCGCTGCCAGTGTCCGAGCCACCGGAGAGGGTGGGTCAGCGGGAGCGGCGCCCCTCCCGGCCGTGACCCGGCAGAGGTCACAGAGTCACCGGCCGTGACCCGGCAGAGGTCACAGAGTCACCGGCCGTGACCCGGCAGAGGTCACACCCCTCCCGGCCGTGACCCGGCAGAGGTCACAGAGTCACCGGCCGTGACCCGGCAGAGGTCACAGAGTCACCGGCCGTGACCCGGCAGAGGTCACAGAGTCACCGGCCGTGACCCGGCAGAGGTCACAGAGTCACCGGCATGACACAGCCGAGTGTCCGAGGTCGTGCGACCCAGTGCTACGGATACATTTTGCTCTTTGGATGGATAGCTTGCCAACTTATGCTTTCGAAAGCTAAGCTTTGCGCTGTTGAAAGCGCCTGAGCATTGATGATGCATTGTTTGTTTGTGACAGACTATTCGAATAGACGGAGAGCACATGCAGTGTTTGCTTGTGCTAGACGGCAGGTGTTAGCGGCAGATTCTGCTGCTCTCTGCAGTATTCAACCAATAGTTCCATACACAATACAGTTCACATTTAACCCTCGCCGGCACAGGCCATTTTGCGTCCTTCGACGGCACAAGGTGGGGGGTTGGTACGAACCCCCTTGCGCTCGGCCCCTGATCGAGCGAGCTTCGCGGAAAAAACGAGCGTGCTGCCCGTCACGAGAGGAAGCCGATGATATCCAATTTTAAGGTCCTAGTTCATCGGGTGACCTTCCAGGTCAGGTCAATGACCCGAAAATCGGGAAAATCGGGACCTGTTAGAAAGTCGCAAAGTGTGGCTATTGTGGGGTTTTCCGGGGTGCTGATCACGAATATCGTGTTAGTTTTCCGGGGTGCTGATCACGAATATCGTGTTAGTTTTGATCAGAGATGATGTCTATAAGCATTTAGACCAGGTCGGGTCAGGTCAGGTCAGGTCAACCGGTAGGGGTCGGGACGGGTATTCGTAATACTTGTCATCCGCCTCTGACAGCTTCGTAACATGTTACGAAGACACCAAAACTACTTCGGAAATGTTCAATGGTTGCTAAATTCGAAATCAGCTCCAAAAACTAGCCTGGAAACATTTAAAAGTCGAAAAAGTAAACCTAGGTCACCAAAGGTCAATGACCTGACCTGACCTTCAGGTGACCTTGACATCCACCCTAATGCATGGGAGCAACATCAAATCACATGTTTGAACGTTTGAAACCACGAAAGGCTTGCAAACGCGCGGCTAATGCGAGCCGACATACGCCGAATCGTGATTCCGGCTAAACATGGTCTCGGAAAGTAGATCTCAAAGGTCATTTGGATCAGGGCCATGAAATTTTCAGGGTAGGTGTGAAATTGATCAATGCGAGGGTATTGAAAGTTTCTTTGCGATCGGCCGCTTTTTACTTGAGTTATTTGCGAAAAACCTTGGGGGGGGGGGCGTTGCATCCCCCCCCTGTGCCGGCGAGGGTTAAGTAGCAGGCGAATTTGATGATCGGTTTGTGGGAGTGTTAACTAACTTCTGGAGAATGTTTCCGGGTTTTTATTTTGTGGTAAACATGATTCTCTAAAACTGAAGAGAGCTACGATTCTTTGCTGAGAGTTATGACGTAGGTAGGTACTTTTATGGCCTTGGGTATGACGGCTGACATTGGCCGCTGTTCTAGAGCCTTGCACTCACTGTATCAGGTCTCTGAGCTGGCCGAGCTGCGGGTGGACGAGGCGTGCCGAGCCGGCAGGGGCTGCCACCTGCCCGGCAGGGGCTGCCTCCTGCCCGGCAGGGGCTGCCACCTGCCCGGCAGTCTCATCCCCTGGACGACAGAGCGCTAACCGGTTTCTGAGCCGGTGGCTGAGTGAGCGGTAAAAACCCGCCCGGATGGACGGAGAGAGGCCCCGTGCAGCTCTCGGAGGTGAGCTACCACAGACTGCACGAAACGCCAGAGAGCTACACAGACTCCACAGACTGCACGGAACGCCAGAGAGCTACACAGAATCCAAAGAGACTCCACAAACTGCACGGAACGCCAGAGAGCTACACAGACTACCACAGACTGCACGGAACGCCAGAGAGCTACACATAATCCAAAGAGACTCCACAAGCTGCACGGAACGCCAGAGAGCTACACAGACTACCACAGACTGCACGAAACGCCACAGACTGCACGGAACGCCAGAGAGCTACACAGACTACCACAGACTGCACGGAACGCCAGAGAGCTACACAGACTCCACAGACTGCACGGAACGCCAGAGAGCTACACAGACTCCACAGACTGCACTGAACGCCAGAGAGTTACACAGACTCCACAGACTGCACGGAACGCCAGAGATCTCCAGAGACGACTGCAGACCCCCGCAGACCTAAAGAGACCCCCAGGGACTCCACAGACCTCCACAGACCTCCACAAACTACCACAGACTACTACAGACTACTACAGGCCATCACAGACTCCACAGACCTCCACAGACCTCCACAGGCTCCACAGACTACTACAGACTACTATCAAAGACAACCACGGACTCCACAGACCTACACAGACATCTACAAACCACCACAGACTACTACAGACTACTACAGGCCACCACAGACTTCACAGTCCTACGCAGACCTCCACAGGCTCCACAGACTGCTACAGACTACTAAAGGCTTCCACAGACTCCACAGACTCCACAGACTCAGACTCTACAGACTCCACAGACCTCCGCAGACTCCCTCCCTCAGACCGGGAGTGAAACCAGAGCCAGCAGCACGCTACCGCACCGCTGTGGCACCGCCCGCGCCCGACTCAATGTCCATGGACCAAGACGTGACTGCTGCATTGTGCGCGGCACAATGCTGCTGTGTGCGGCACAATACAGCAGTGGGCGGCACAAAACAGCAGTGTGCGGCACAAAACAGGAGTGCGCGGCACAACACAGCTGTGGGGGGCACAATACAGCTGGGACGGTGCAGCGGCCGGCGTTTGTTCTGGAGAAAGGTGGCCGCAAGTTGTGACACACCACGTGTCACTGAACTCTTCTGTCCGTGTCATGACACACCACGTGTCACTGAGCTCTTCTGTCCGTGTCATGACATATTGCGTGTCACTGAACTCTTCTGTCCGTGTCATGACATATTGCGTGTCACTGAACTCTTCTGTCCGTGTCATGACATATTGCGTGTCACTGCTGATCGTGACCCGTGATGAAACTGAAGGGAACATACCGGCGGGACTTGTATCGGATGAGCCGCAGCCGCACTGGCCGGGACTGACCGGGACTGGGACCGGGACTGACCGGGACTGACCGGGACTGACCGGGACTGGCACTGACCGGGACTGACGGACAGACCTGACTGACCGGGGCTGACCGGGACTGACTGGGACTGGGACTGACCGGGACTGGGACTGACCGGGACTGACCGGGACTGACCGGGACTGGGACCGGGACTGACTGGGACTGACCGGGACTGACCGGGACTGACCGGGACTGGGACCGGGACTGACCGGGACTGACTGGGACTGACCGGGACTGACCGGGACTGGGACTGACCGGGACTGGCCGGGACTGGGACTGACCGGGACTGACCGGGACTGACCGGGACTGGGACTGACGGACTGACCTGGACTGGCCGGGACTGACCGGGACTGACCGGGACCGGCCGGGACTGACTGGGACCGGGACTGGCCGGGACTGGGACTGACCGGGACTGACCGGGACTGACCGGGACTGACGGACAGACCTGACTGACCGGGACTGACCGGGACTGACCGGGACTGGACGGGACTGGGACTGACCGGGACTGACCGGGACTGGGACTGACCGGGACTGGCCGGGACTGGGACTGACCGGGACTGGCCGGGGCTGGGACTGACCGGGACTGACTGGGACTGACCGGGACCGGGACTGGGACTGACCGGGACTGGGACTGACCGGGACCGGGACCGGGACTGACCGGGACTGGGACTGACCGGGACTGACCGGGACTGGGACGCATGGGACTAACCGGGACTGACCGGGACTAGCCGGGACTGACCGGGACTGGGACTGACCGGGACTGACCGGGACTGACCGGGACTGACCGGGACTGACCGGGACTGGGACTGACCGGGACTGACGGACTGACCGGGACCGGGACTGACCGGGACTGACTGGGACTGGCCGGGACTGACCGGGACTGGGACTGACCGGGACTGACCGGGACTCTCCGGGACTGACCGGGACTGACCGGGACTGGCCGGGACTGGGACTGACCGGGACTGGGACCGGGACTGGGACTGGCCGGGACTGACCGGGACTGACTGGGACTGACCGGGACTGACCGGGACTGACCGGGACTGACCGGGACTGGGACCGGGACTGACCGGGACTGACTGGGACTGACCGGGACTGACCGGGACTGGGACTGACCGGGACCTGGACTGACCGGGACTGGGACTGACCGGGACTGACCGGGACTGGGACTGACGGACTGACCTGGACTGACCGGGACTGACCGGGACTGACCGGGACTGACCGGGACTGACCGGGACTGGGACTGACCGGGACTGGGACTGACCGGGACCGGGACTGACCGGGACTGGGACTGGCCGGGACTGACCGGGACTGACCGGGACTGGGACTGGCCGGGACTGACGGACTGACCGGGACCGGGACTGACCGGGACCGGGACCGGGACTGACCGGGACTGGGACTGACCGGGACTGACCGGGACTGGGACGCATGGGACTAACCGGGACTGACCGGGACTAGCCGGGACTGACCGGGACTGGGACTGACCGGGACTGACCGGGACTGACTGGGACTGGCCGGGACTGACCGGGACTGACACTGACCGGGGACTGCAAGATTGACCGGGACCGGGACTGACCGGGACCGGGACTGACCGGGACTGGGACTGACTGGGACTGACCGGGACTGACGGACTGGGTAAAAACCGACCAATGATCCCTGACCAGTGATCCCTCTTTGTAACCACGGCAGGGTAACAACCGACCAATGATCCCTGACCACGGCAGGGTAACAGCCGACCAATTATCCCTGACAAAGCAGGGTAACAACCGACCAATGATCCCTGACCAGTGATCCCTCAGGTTAACCACGGCAGGGTAACAACCGACCGATGATCCCTGAACAGTGATCCCTCTGTGTAACCACGGCAGGGTAACAACCGACCAATTATCCCTGACCAGTGATCCCTCAGGTTAACCACGGCAGGGTAACAACCGACCGATGATCCCTGAACAGTGATCCCTCTGTGTAACCACGGCAGGGTAACAGCCGACCAATTATCCCTGACAAAGCAGGGTAACAACCGACCAATGATCCCTGACCAGTGATCCCTCAGGTTAACCACGGCAGGGTAACAGCCGACCAATTATCCCTGACAAAGCAGGGTAACAACGGACCAATGATCCATGACCAAAGCAGGGTAACAACCGATCAATTATCCCTGACCAGTGCTCCCTCAGGTTAGCCACGGCAGAGTAACATGTCGAGCTGCCTCAGCAGTCAGCTGGGCCGAACTGGGCCGCCCCGGCCGGATACACACCGATCAGGAAAGTGGCTGCACCGCTCGCCGAATGGACCGAGATTCACACCGGGAAAACAGCCGCCCGTGTACATACATCCTGTTATTAACCCGGCAGGCTCATTACTGGGTACTGAGGAAGGTGCAGTTCTGTAAATCATACAGCGGGTACACAGTGCAGTTCTGTAAACTGTGTAGCGGGTGTACAGCGCAATTATGTAAATCGTATAAGTGGTTACTGCTTTCATAAGTGGTTACTGCTTTCATATTCTGTTGGTATCATTAATATCTTGTGAATATACAGCTTTGGATTTGTTTAACACAGGGGTGGAGAATTAGGGGTTTTGGGGGTGCTCGAGCACCCCCTGGAATTCAAAAGTCACCATGTCATAGTGCTTCAGGGGTGCTTAAATTACGTCCGAGACACAAACTGCTTTGCGTAAGTCGCGAGGAGAGTGATGTTGCTGGGAAAACGTACCTATAAGGGCTAGAAGTGCTTTTCTAGGTACGCAAGAATTCGACGCTTCCATTCGCCAGGTGCTAGAAAAGCACCCCCTGGGATTATGACAATTCTCCGCCCCTGGTTTAACATTCCTTGTACACGTAAGTAAGCGATCTAAACAGGCATAATTATCGTCGTCGTAGTTATCGCAAAATTGTAAATGGAATTGGTTTATTTTTGTCGTTGAGGTGCAGTCTAAAGGAATGACCAAACATCTTAAAAAAAAAAAAAATGCGCATGCAAAAGTGAACACCACCCGGCAGTCCCTCCCACAATAGCCATCACATTATGCTTCATTGCAGAAAAAGCAACAGCTTTTGAGTTGAGTCAGCAGTGCTTTGCGGTGCTCCACTGCTGCAGACCCTGAGGCGGTCAAAGCACTGTCCGCCTCTGTTCAGGCAGGCGTGACTGCGTCATTGGTGCGCTTTGGCAGTAGGTTTCCACACAGTTTTGCCCCTTTGGTCGTACACGGCATGACTATATCGATAATCACGACTGAGCATTGAATTTCCGACGGACATAGCAGCAGGAATGGGCGCGTTCTTTGTTTTCATTTGCTTGTTATACAGCTTGGAGTCGTACAGGCCAAATATAGGCGAAATACGGCGGTATTAACCTTCCAGGCGGTGGGGGGGGGGGGGGGGCATATGTTACCAACCTGTCGCGTTTTTTGCGTGTGAATAAAAAACCGCGGCGCCTAGCGCCGCGCCGCTTGGGGTAGCTTTTGGTACATCAATTTTGGACAATGTGTGAAATTTTTGACCCCAGGTCATGTCAGGTCAGGTCACCAGGTCAAGTTAACTGACCAAGCCTAAAAAAGTTTGCAATCATGTCCAACCTGCAGTGTTTATCAGAAAGGTTTTAAACTTGGTGGATGGCATGATGTTATAGGCGCCTACAATTTGTATATCTCGGATTTTTTATATCCGTGACCTAAGGTCAGGTCAGTGGCGTGACCTTTCCATTACAAGTCAAAGGAGAAAAATGAAAATGCCTCTAGATCCGTGTGTATACATAGTAACAGTCTAAATATTTCAGAATCACAATGATTTGGACCACTCGTGTTGACCAAGGTGTCATTTTTTGCTGATAGCCTCTAGAAAGGTCATCCGAGGTCATTTAATAATAATAATAATAATACATGTTTATTTCATACCATAAGTGGTACATATAGGCGAACACTAAAACAAACACACACAGACACACCACCAAACAACCAATACACAAGCCAGGTACTCTTTCCTCAGAGAGATGCACTGGTCATAAGACACGGTTGCGTCGTTCCATAACGAATCTTGCTATGTGTGCAACAAAAACATTGAATAGATCTGGCGACGAAGTGGCATATAAGTTGAGATTCAGCAAATCGTACTTTTGGCGATGTTTTGTATGCATACGGGCAGACAAGCCGTTGCTCCCGATGGAACTGGCTAGCAAGGCCACAATCAGTGTGTTGGAGGCCTGTGAGAGTCGAAGCCAAAAGACTAACTGGCGATAGGTGATTTGCATTGGGCAGGTCAGCATGTGAAGATCGTGACACAGATCATGATTCCTACTCCACCGAGGGACTTTGACAAGCTTCTTGAGACAACTGTGGTATGCTATACACAACTCTCGAAACGTTTGCTGGTCACGATACACGTTCCAGAGCTCACATCCATACAGGTTGGTGCAGTACGATTTGAAGAGCTTCGTCAGTACACTTTTGTCGGCAAAGCCAATAGCTGCTGATAGCATGTTTACATTGGTATAAAGCGCTCTCTTAACACGGCGCATGTCATCGATGTCGCGCAGATCATCACGAATTACATGACCCAGGTACTTAAAAGACGTCACCCATCTTAACTGCTGGCCAGAAAGTAGCAACGAAGGAGGTCTGGAATGAACCAGATGAGTGGCCGAGTACGGTTTTCGAGGGAGGAATTGCATACACACAGATTTAAGAGGGTTAAATTCAACGTCGAGAAGATGAGCTAGCCTATTGCACTCATTTACAATTGTCTGCAACGCTTCCCTCGTGGGGGCCAGAAGCACAATGTCATCAGCGTATGCCAAAATGTTCGTTGCACATGCACCTACGCGACAACCAACACTCATTTCTCGCACTTTGCACAGAATGGAGTCAACGTACACACTAAATAACAACGGAGAGAGGATGCCCCCCTGCCTAACGCCATTGCCAGCATGAAATTTTTCGGAGATAAGACCATCCCATTTAACACCCAATGTCTGCATCCTGTACCAGTACAGCAACAGTTTGAGGTATTGTGAAGGCACGCCACGGTCGGTCAAAATACCAAACAAAAATTTGAGGCTACAAACATATTTTTGCCAATAACTCGCGATTGGAAAGAGATAGAACGTTGGGGATGGTCTCATTGTGTTTGTCTTGCCAAGACGCATCGACTGATATGCAACATGACCTTTTCCGGTCAGGTCATGACCTTGACCTGAGGTCAAATTTTCATGTTGACCTTTCAAGGTCAAATTATAGTTCATTCGACGCGTCTCGGCGAGAGGAGCACGATTCTGGCAATAGAAATGTCGTGGCTTTTTGTTGTCAAAAGTTATTGTCAAAAAACACTTCGTAAAAACAGCTATTTTTGGAGTTTTTGCCCTCTGGAGGCTAAACCCGTGACCTGAGGTCAATTTTGTTAATGACCTTTTCAAAAGAAGAGTTCAAGAGCTATCGATTGCTTTTCCATGCGTTTTTCTAGCTACTATAGTTCCTGAGGTAACGGCATGTTTTCTGAAAAATATAATGACCATTGGCAAATTTTGACCTTTGATGACCTCTGGTGACCCCAATATTGCTCTAAGATGAAAAATGACTGAAATACTTTCACACGTACGCATTGAGAGCTATCGACTGCTTTTTACCGCGTCTTTCTAGCCCTCTTAGTTTTTTTAGTTAGAGGTGGGTAGTAACATATGCCCCCCCCCCCCCCCACTAGGGCGAAGTTGGCTGAGACCGCCACTGGGGCGCGGGTTAAAATGCAGTTGGTGTCACAGGATCCAGCTAATCACAGGTCAGGTATGTCAAGTTTCAGCTCGCTATCACCGGCGTGTTCGGAGCTATCGCAAACAAAAACTGGGGGGGAGGGGAGGGCACCCGCCCCCTCCCCTCGGCCGGGTAGGGTTAACCCAAGCGCCGCCCCTGTTTTTCTTTTTCTTCCGTATGAAGAATAAACCGAACAAACTGATAGTCAGTGGCGGATCCAGGGGGAGGGGCAAAATGGGCATTTGCCCCCCCCCCAAACGCCATAATTTTAACATTACGCCTATGGACGATGCATGGAAAGAATCGATAAATTGTTATGGTTTGCCCCCCCCCCCCCAAAAAAAAAACTCTGAGCTAGATCCGCCTCTGCTGATAGTTCACATACCTATAATAACAATCATGACTCCCAAGTCCCAGCTCCTAGGACGGTGCCTACAAGACGTGATGAAGACTGCGGTGGACATAATGCCTACATGTAGCGCGGCGTTCTGCCGCAGGGTGACCAGTCACCAGACCCCCACTGCGGCACCCACAGCCACAGCCACCGACCTGCCACTGACCTTTCTCCTCCGACATGAAGTCGTCTGAGACTCTGAAGTCGGGCCGTCCGTAATTTCAGCAGCTCATTACACTTCCAGCACGTGCGACACTATTGCTACGTCCTCTTAGTTGCACACAGCAGCTGAGACTGAGCGGAACACAGCAGAAACGGGTCGCCGCGCCGCTGACAGCTCGTAAGGCCGGTCTGTCGCTGCGCTAGCCTGTCAGTATCGCCCTTACCGCTCGGCCCGGTGGCGACAGGGGTGCTCTGCCGCCGGCTTTCCAGGCATTGTCGCCTTTAGTGCGCACTTTCACCGGCGCGGTGAGCGGCAGACGAGTCGGGAGCTGCTTTGGAAGGTCGGAGATGTTGTTTTGGTACCTTCACTTCTCACGGGCCACTGGGAGCCGGCTCAGGTATGAGAGCCACTGCGGGGCGGTTAGTCGGTGGCTGACTGACGACCCCAGTCTCTGTCTATATCGGAGTTGTTACCACCGGGTGATTCGGCATAGTGGATCCACGGTTCATCCGTCTTCGCTGTCATCAGGACAAACCCTTCCATACCCCCCCCCCCTGACGCTTCCTCTCCGGGCTGGCGGTCCTGGCGGTCCGGGCGGTCCGGGCGGTCCGGGCGGTCCGGGCGGTCCGGGCGGTCCGGGCGGGCGGTCAACCTACCTGGTGGATGAAGCGACGGCCTTTTGCAAAAATCATGTTGTAAACGAAGCAACTTTTTATTTCACGACTTGTTTCAGACATTCTTGAAATCATATGGACATCATTTTGCGATTACATACCGTTTAGGGCTGGAAGCCGAAAGAACAGGATGCAATGAAAAATATACTCAAATATTCAAATACGTTTTCGGTGCAGCCAACGGGGAGCATTCATTCTGGACATCGTGCCCTGGACATTATGAACTCTGGCCTCTTTGAATTTACCCTATCTGCAGCCAGTTGGCCACATTTGGACCATGTAATCCCTGGACAATGTGAACACGGGCCAATTCATGTCACTGGCCATTTCGAGCACTGGACACATTGTGCCCTGGACATTATGAACCCTGGCCTAAATAATACGCACCCGCAGCCAACAACAGCACAGCTCATACTAACGACGGACCTATACACCCAGGAGCGTGTTATGACCCTGATTGATTCGCTCACGCTGTCTGACCGGCCACGGACGGAGCTGTCGGTGGTCGGTCTGCTAACTTGGTGTCGTATTTGTTAGCTTAATTATCTAAGCTCCTCCCCTTCCCCTGACCGGGCACAAAGATCATTTGATCTCATTCTCCATCCTATTATTCCTGAGGTGCTCGAAATACCTACAGAAGACTTGATTGCCGCGTCCCGCGATTCGGAAAGTTACGAATAAATCGGAAATAGAATGACAGAGAAGATGGACACTCGGCCAAGGCGACATTATGCAACCTACATACATCAAAGTAGGATATACATTGACAAGAAGTTGGCCAATTAAAATCGCGAAGTACACACCTACGATACCTATGTGATCAGAGTAAGTATAACTTACTACTTCCTTCGCCTATTTGAAAGCAATCTGACCGCAAAGTTGACAAAATTATTAACCCTCGCCCATGTAGGGGGGGGGGGGGTTGGTGCAACGGTTTTTCTTAGCTACACGCCGAACCGTTTCAGATAGCCTGCTCAAATTTTCAGTACCCGATAAGGCATCCTTTGCGCAACTTTTGGTGTTTTTTTGTCAAGGTCATGTCAGGTCACGGAGTTATGACGTCATAAAGGGAACAGGCCAGATTTACGCTAAATTGGAGATTGCTTCACATTGGTATAAATGCCGACTGACCTGACACACTGATGGATTGTTTTAGAATCATAACTGGCTGATTTGACATTGACACAATGTCCGTTGACCTTTTCAAGGTTACTAAAGGTCAAGGTCAGGTCAGTGACCTCGGTTGACCTGTAATGACTTCTTGCACTTGTATGCCTTTTCGGGGTATTTTGATGCCCTGAATTTGAATTTGCTATCCATTTCAGGCATCGTCGGTTGTTTCTTGTAGTTTATTTTGGGTCAGGGTCAGGTCAGTGACGTCACACGCCTGACGTGACCCAATGTACAAATGACCTTGCAGACTTCCGATGCTCCCAACGCATCATGTTTAGAGTTATGACATCGAAATACACACCAAACGATAGAGAATTGATCAAGGATCACGATAGTGAAGGTTTCAAGTCGATATCTCTTACCGTTTTGCCGCAATCGGCGCGGAAATCTAAAAAAAGTTAGATTTTCCCGAAAATTTGACCTTTGACCGGTCATAAGTAGGTCTAATGTTGACCTAGGACCAAAAAATATACCACCAATCGCGAGGTCTCGTTGAGAGCAATCCGTTGGTCTTTTCCGCTAAGCTCTACGACGCTCCGTTTTCAAACGCCAGGGGGGGTCGCACCAACCCCCCCCCCCATGCATGGGCGAAGGTGGCAAAACACCGTTTACGGGCGAGGGTTAATCCGCGCCCCGCTGGGGGGGGGGGGCAAAATCTCCCCCTCCCGGTTTTCGTCAGTAACTTCTAAACGCGTTACGCCAGCGACGTCAAACTTTCAGTACCTTATCATACATCAATTTGACACGTTCCCTGAAAATTTGAGCGAAGTCCGTCGGATTTTGTTGTTGAGAAAATGACTAAGTGACGTCATGTCAGCCATTTTCGCCTGAAAAACGGCAAAATTTCAAACGCCGCTAACATCTGCATTTTTATGGGAATCAAGACGTAACAAAAAAGGTTATACGTGATTCTACTTTGTCTATCATATAGCCATATCATTTTTTGAAAATTTTGGATTTTCGCCCATTTTTTTTAAACTGACTTTTTTGGAAACATCATTACAAGATTCAAAATTTTAACCCGCGCCCTGGTAGGGTCTGTTTATAACGCGACCTGGTGGGGGGGGCTATTTTTTGCCCCCCCCCCCTCGTATCTCCGAAACTACTGGACGGATCCGAAAAATTCAAACGGCGTTAGAAAGGCCTGTCAAATTTGTTGAGGGAAACCAAATTTTATTGACCTCGGGGTCACCGATGACGTCACAGGTCAGGTCAAAGATGAAATGTTTCACCGTTCACGGTTCTTCTAGGGAATGCGCTATAACACCGAGGAAAACGCATTTTGTCGGGAATCAGCGATAGGGCGTCAGTTGCCTAGTAGATATGTTGCTGTTAGAGGTCACTGGTCATACCAGGTCAGGTCACAGGTCAGGTCACCAAAGGTCACCAAGGGTCACCACATGAACCCAACTTTACTAAGGTTATGCGATGCATGTTTTATGGCCAGTTTTTCATTTCCAACTCAATGGTGTTGGTTATAAGACCATCAGGTACGGTTTAGGTCACTTTCTGGTGGAGGTCAGGTCAAGGTCAGGTCAAAAAAGGTCAAATTTCAAAGTTGATATGTTTGCATAAAATGGGTATTGATTCGATGCAGCTCGTCACGGGGAGTCTAATGGTGGTCTTTGTTTTGCGCTACGAGGTCTAGAATTGCTGAAAATTGAGTTTGAAAATTTGACGTCATCAATTTTGAACAGTTTTTTCGCTATAACTTGGCCAAAAAAAGAGGTATCGATCTCAAATTTGGTATGTAGATAGAAGGCGGTAAGGACTATCACATATATTCCGGTTTTTTTCGAAATTCAAAAAATTTTTTGGATTTTTTGGCTATTATATTCAAAAAATCTATTTTTTGATTTTTGGGGGTCAAAATCCAAAAATTTCAAAAATCCAAGATAACAGTTTTGTAGCCCTGTCCATTCTACAGCTTTTATGTCTTATTCATTTTTCTGTATTTGCAAAGCTATAGGCCTGACAGCTCTTCCCGCGAAACCCTTTTTTGGGTCGAAAACGGCAGAACATGACGTCACTCTGACGTCATTCCCGGCCAACCTATCATAGCCTTTGGAAAAATTTTTGGTCACAATGTGTAAAATTGATGTCCGGGAGGGTACTGAAAGTTTGGTGACGATCGGCGCAGTGGTTCTGGAGATATATCGAAAAGTCTGGAGGGGGGGGGGGCAAAAAATAGCCCCCCCACCAGGTCGCGGGTTAAGTGTATCGAAGAAAACGGAATATATGTCAGAGGAGTGGTCTATGTGCACTAGTGATGTCAGTTACAGAAAATCGAGATACCGATACCAAACCAAATACCAAATATAACCATAGGAAAATACCAAAACCAAACCAACTTCAGAAACTGAGGGAAATACCAACTTTTTAACAAATTCACAACCTCTTTTACATTAGCGACGATTCACAATACCAACAAAATACCAAATGCATTAGCCTTGAAATACCAAATACCAAGTTGGTATCGGTTTGGTATCGGTATACCAAAAAGTTGGTATCCGATTGACATCTCTAATGTGCACCTACATACCAATTTTTAGATAAATCGGTTCAAAAATGTGGGATTTATTCAAACTTTTATGACGTCACGACACACAAAATTTTTGATTTTTTTTTTGAAGTTCTAGAATTCGTTCGGAAACAAAATAGCACCAGTTCATTCGCCGTGAAAACTATCAGGTAGACGCCTTTTAATGTCTTAAAGGAAAAGGGCCACCTTCGTGAAATATGAAGATATCGTTGTTTTTCATTTTGACATTATTATTTTTCATTTTCTTTTTAAAACTGGTGCCAGAAGTGCACAATTCGCGAAAAAGTATTTAAAACTATTTAACATATTGGTACTATGTTGATACTCTCTACGGCACCTACTGTATGATGGCATAGCGATGACGTCACACTCAAGCCAATCAGCGTTCAGAAGACAGACTCGTCGGATTGTGTCAGATAAGCTGATTGGTTAAAGCTGAGCTGGTTGGAGCTGATTGGTAAAAAACCAAAGCCTCGCCGCGGGTGGCTGTATTGTCGGATAAGAACGCATTCCTGGGATAAGAACGCATTCCTGGCGTATTTTCTTTTAAAATTGCCGATAACTACGAATGGAGGCCGAAATCGGCCGTAAGGAGGTAGACAGATAGGTTTTCGGACACGGGCTACAAGATGGCTATCTCAGTTTCAATCCCCATGTTAAAGGTGGCCCTTTTCCTTTAACAACCAACTTCAAAATATGACCTCACTTGACCTGACCTTGAACTGGCAGCCTCGCCCTGAGATTCATCCAGATGGTGTCCATATCACTTATTGATTGTGCCTATGGAATTCTATGAATAAAATGACCCATAAAACATGCGTCGCACATGCCCTTTTCTATATATCGTTTTTGGTGACCTGAACTGACGTTGATCTTGACCTTTG